CATATTAATTACTGAACTATTAAAGACTACAATTGTTTTCAGTAATCTCAAAAATTCAAACATACAATAACGTTGCCCAATGAAATGAAATATTCAAATATTGACATCTTAAAAAGCAACATTACAATGTTTATAAAATAAATTAATGATGTATCTCTGTGGATAAGTCATTGAATTTAGGGATACTTCTACTTATTTCAAAATGTCAAGCGTCGCTATTTTATGATAAATAAATCATGCATAGTATGGGTGTTAATATCTTATGAGACCTATTCTATTTTATTATTTTTATTTAGTTATAAACTATTTCTCCCTGTTTCTTTGTAAGAATCACGTGACTACACGTTGTATGTTATTGTTATAAAATCTATTAATAGTAATAAATGACTGACAAGACAGACAAACAGGTAACTTGTGAATGGTTGGCACAAGGTATAGCAGCTGATAAAGGGCAAATCAAATGATTAATTACAAAATTTCGGTATGACGGTAGGGGGCAAGAATCGTATTGGATACACAGAGAAAACTAATAAACTATCTTTGTGTTGATAGTTTATCGCACCGAAAGACAATTAAACGTTAACTATATCGTATGTAACGACGGGAATACTGATTTTCAATTTAATAATATATATTTTTCGATAAGAATATTTTTTTATGCAGACACAACTTTTACAGTAGAATTGCATTGTTTTATGCAATAATTAAGCATATATATATTCATAGTCACTTTGCAAATATTCGATGATCGGTAATATTTTGTCGGTAATTATCGGATTCTGAAGTAAACCATACGGATTTCAATGTATGGTACAACGGTATATGTATAAAGTAGAATTACAAGTAGAATTACAAGTATATCACTTGCTTTACAAGCCTCGATGTTTCTGAAGACTGTATGTTCAATAGGTGATTTTTTATGTTTTATTTTATGATATTTTTGTATTTTGCAAAACTTGACCATTTATCAAAATTATAAATAAAAAAGTGCTAGATATGAAACACCACCGTCGGATACCCACGATTGATAAACATGTCACATAACATGCAATCAATGATAATGGTTCGGCCGTGGGTATCCGACGATGATGAAACACACGATTTATCAACTTATGTTTCATAAAGTTAAAAGATATAATGAAATCAATTTATGAAAACTACAAACAGGATTTGTCCAAGATTCTTACTTACACCTACTAAGTGACAGCTTCGTCATATTTACCACTAGGCTATCGAACAGTATTAATTGATATATACAATTAATTATACTTACAATAAATCGTTAACATTCATCATAAAAAGTTAAGAAAACTAACGAAATACCTCCCGAAAATTAATAAGTCTCGGGTAAATATTGCCAAACAATACTTTCTTATTTAATAATGAAAATAGTTTCTCACAACATTTGCTTCAAATATGATGTTTTATTATAAATTTAAATAATGTATAAAACTCTTTTACAAAGTTTATAGCAAGAAAGATAATGTGGCAAGTACATGAAAACGTGTTTATGAATAAACATTACTCAACTGATTGTTCCTCTTTTCTTTATACCCGAACCATTAAACTGATATTTTTGTATTTTCTGATCGCAAGATCAGTAAATACATAGCTAACATCCACGGTCTAACACAAAATTTCCTAACAGACCTAACAACGCAAAGTAGTTCTCACTCAAAACTGCTTAAAAACCAGCAATTTAAAAGACAGAATATTTTTAATGTAGGCATTTAACGAATTACAGTGCATTGAAAGTTTAGATTAGTCAATAGAAATATGAGGTTACAATCACAAATTTCGCGGATGAATATCATTTTAATCAATGAAAATGCTATTTTTAGCTATGTCGATTACTGAATACTCCAGGGCGTATTATACAAATAAATCTGACTGCCGAGTAGTGGAATATATACATGTCGGACTGTTTTAGCGAGAAGATTTTCGCTAAATTATTTTTATCAGTGTTAAACAGGTTTATCGTGAACAAAATACCTCGAAATTGATAAGGATTACAAACACGAAATGGAAATTCTCAATTTATAATTACAATGTATTTGTTTTTATTCAGATTACTTCACTGTGGTGCAGGGGTATCGCGCTCGTATCGCGCTCGTTTAGGGTGTGAGAGGCCTAAGGTTCAAATCCTAGTCGAGGCAACTTTTTTTTTGAAGTGTCTTTTTTAAGGGAAGTAGCCAGATATGCAAGGATAAAGTGTGTCATAAAAAAATGATTTTTGGATGCAACTCTAGTCATGCAAAATTCCATATGTATCAATCTCAAACTGTTATAGAAAAAAATCTTAACGCAGTCGCTGCGTAAGATGAATTATAGTATATAAAAATAAACCTATATAGGAAAATACATACAGATAGTCAGTATGATTTAGATCAGAAAATACCACAGAGCTTGCAGCCCTTTGATCCTTTATTTATGATAATACAATCATATTTCTATCCGGCGACTTGATAACACTACTGCGCCGAGGTTTACGCCTTTAACAATTACAGCGTTCAAATGGTTATCGACTCATTAAACTACTTTTACTTTGTATATGTGATAAACAGCATACTATATTATCTATATTCGTGTAGGTTTAATGATTTATGAAGTATCTTTTTTATCATACATAATCACTTTCGCCACGTTACATTAAGAATTTAACGTAAAAATACACATACATGTTAAGATTTTAACTTTTTGTACTTACAAATCATACACAAAGTAAAATTAATATTTCTCTGTTTTAGATGACTGCATTTACATTGTTCAAGACACGAGAAGATTTGCTTATGTGTCGGGTACACCGAGAATATCAAAATCCATAATGTAATATATACGATATTGTATTTTAAGATACGAAGAAACTTAAAAGTCAGATCAAAATTCTCAAGAATGATCTTGAAAAATAAACATTGTCATGGAAATTTGATGAGGTTTAAAGTATAATGACTCAGCAAACGTATGCGTTAGTTCACTTCTTTCAATTTGATGTACAATAAAGATATTGGATCATTTACTTCCTGTGGTGCTCCTTTCGGCCAAAGACTTTCACAATTCTGCATAAATACTCTTTTACAAATCCTACGTTATTTGCATTACACTGTGCTACTGGATATTCAATGTGTTTTAAAGGAAAAAGAAAGAAACGTTGCTTTCTAACGAGCTTGAAACAATATCTAGAAATGAGCCGCGGCACGACAAAACCAACATAATGGGTTTGCGAACAGCATGGATCCAGACCAGTCTGCGCATCCGAGCAGTCTGATCAGGATCCATGCTGTTCGCTATCAGTTTCTCTACTTGTTATAGGGTTTGTGAGCGAACATCATGGATCCTGATCAGACTGCGCGGATGTGGATCCATGCTGGTCGCAAACCCATTATGTTGGTTTTGTCGCGACGCGGCTCAAATAGATAGTATAGATGCAAGTATATAGAACGTTAGTTAAAATGGAAACTCCCAGGCTAACAACAAAAGAACAAAATCAATCTTCTTAGCAACCGTTAAAACAAGCACACCGAAAGCTTAATAAATATTTCTTGTCACAATTGTCGCATTCATATTTCTGTTATATAGAACAAATATTGTTAAATAGTTTATTTCTTTCTGCATAATGACACCTGTTGTACCAACATCTAAAGATCCTTTTCACCAAAAGCTTTTTATATATCATTTTAAGCCTCCTTTATAACCATAGAGCTATCTCCTTGGCGACAGAACTGTCCCTCAGAGCAAATATCCTATATCTTTTATTATTAACTAACGTTTTGATCTGATTTTAATTTTAATTCATTTCTAGACCTTACATGTAATTGAAACATATTCGTTTTTAATCTCGATCGCTGTTACGATGGAGACTGGCGGAAAATAATCTGTTTCGTGATTCAACGCTAAATTCGCCAATTGGGAAATTAAGCTAGATAGTCCGGTCTGTACAATACACCCCCGCGTGCTTTAAATGACGCCATTGCCGCGCACCTTTTATGAATGAATTGCGTTCCTAGGATGACGTCACTTAACTGTTATGAATGAAGTTGTAAGTTAAGAAAAAAGTTTTCGCAATTTCTGTTCTGAAAATAATTGATACGTAATATGCAAGAAAAAGAATTAAACACCGGCTGTCGATACAGACGGGCATATCACTCTCGGGAAACTTTTTAACGGAAAACTCGCGGGCCCCTTTTAAACCGCGTAAAGATCCCCCTCGAGACATATTCCGGTTGTACCCGAGCCGGGTGTAAGATTCATCACATTGACTTGAGCATTTCGCCGTTCGGAGGGCTATATAATTTTTCAAATTTGAACAGTTAACCGCACACCGCAGCCTTTAGCCAATCAAAGCGAATAATTTAATATCACATGATAACAAAATGGACGTCAAAAACCTTCAACAAGTTTTGTCGGGTTACTTATTCCTACAACATTGAAAATGTCTCGGAAACCACTTTGCATGGAGACTTTTTTCATGTTTTCATTTTTTATGTTTTTATAATGGCCGTGCTGGAGAGTCAATCAAAATTGTCCAATCTCTTAATAGCCGAGTTTTCTCATAAAGGCCGTATTTTTTTGCAAATTGACCTTGTTTTGTATATATTCATAATATCGTGGTGAACTTCATATTAGCCTTACATTTGAAGTGAAAACGTGCCTAATATTGAAAAGTTAATTAATAAAAAGCGTTTAAGCGCGCTATTTTTTTTAAATAATTTAAATTATAATGTACGGCAGTGAGCGTTGCACTGTATCCGCGTCAATGAAAAAATGACTCTTTTTAAATGTAAACCGTTGTTATTTTTATGTGATAAATAGAATACTATATTCGTACAGATTCAAAACTAAATTAATTGAACGAAATATTGAATATTGAATAAAATATTTGACTTCGTAATAACTTAAATATACATTATGACAAATTAATACGACTTAAAACCGGTATAAATGACTAACAATTAATACATAGCTAACTTGATTTAATTGAGACAAAAAAAAATCAAACTCACAAAAACAATATGTAATGATCCGACCAATCATCCTGTCCGAATTGGTTTTTTAATGAATTTTGTCTTACTTTCTACTTATAAATAACAATTACGTTTTTAAAAATTTCAGGGGGTCAAATCTGATATTCGGAAAAAGGAGTACCGCTGTTTTTTTTTTCAAAAAGAAAACGGTAAGGGATTGTTTGGATTAAACATTGTTTTCTATGCTGTACTGCTCTCTTATAATACTGTCATTATTATGTTACGGTGAAAGGGGTAGACATCGGGACAAATGTAGGTTTCTGAACTCCGTAATTAACCAGATCCCCTCAAAACTGTCCTTATTACTTAATAAATCTTGATAATTTGAAGTAAACAAGTATCTAATAAGCAAGTAGGTTCGACAATATACGAGGGATAGGTGAAGATTGTAGCATAACAAATACATTTTAATACTTTTACCATGCTTGATGATTGGACAACATGAAAGTTGTCATGGAGCATTGAAATTCTATCAAAATAAAAATAATTTTACCAACTTGATTAAATGAATAAGACTCACGCGAACTTCTGTGTAACACAATTTTTTATGGTTTTAAATCATAAATATGATGCTCAAATTAAGATTTATCAATATTGTAGGTTCCAAAAAGCATTATTTATAAAGATATTACCGAATTTAACATTTCACGTAAATAAAGGAAAATTATTTAGTCAAATTTTACAATAAGAAATGAATGCATTTATTTTAATGATTACATATAATATGCACAAATATTTGCAGTACATATTTTACATATTCTTCGATGTTTGAAAATTGTTGTTTTTTTTGCATAATTATGTACATTTATATAACTTTACTTAGTGTGGTTTACCACTTTTGATCACAACATAAAGGATCTTTAATTATTTTCCTCATAATTCACATTAAAATATTCACTACATTACTCCGTCTTGTTTCGTAACAGCCTCTTATAACATTACTACCCTAACAATAGTGTTATAGCATGACTACCTTTACAATAGTGTTATTACATGACTTACCTAACAATAGTGTTATGAAATGGCTACCCTAACAATAGTGTTATTACATGGCTACCCTAACAAAAGTGTTATTACATGACTACCCTAACAATAGTATAATAACATGACTACCCTAACAATAGTGTTATGACATGGCTACCCTAACAATAGTGTTATGACATGACTACCCTAACAATAGTGTTATGACATGGCTACACCAACAATAGTGTTATAACATGACTAACCTAACAAAAGTGTTATAACATGATTAACCTAACAATAGTGTTATAACATGACTAACCTAACAATAGTGTTATAACATGACTACCCTAACAATAGTGTTATAACATGACTAACCTAACAATAGTGTTATAACATGACTAGCCTAACAATAGTGTTATAACATGACTAACCTAACAATAGTGTTATAACATGATTAACCTAACAAAAGTGTTATAACATGACAACCCTATCAATAATGTAATAACATGACTAGCCTTACAATAGTGTTATGACATGACTACCCTAACAATAGTGTTATAACATGACTACCCTAACAATAGTGTTATAACAAGACTATCCTAACAATAGTGTTATAGCATGACTTCCCTATCAAAAGTGTTATAAGAAGACTTCCCTAACCAAAGTGTTATAACATGACTAACCTAACAAAAGTGTTATAACATGACTAGCCTAACAATAGTGTTAAAACATGACAACCCTAACAATAGTGTTATAACATGACTAACCTAACAAAAGTGTAATAACATGACTAGCCTAACAATAGTGTTATAACATGACAACCCTAACAATAGTGTTATAACATGACAACCCTAACAATAGTGTTATAACATGACTATCCTAAAAAAAGTGTTATAGCATGACTTCCCTATCAAAAGTGTTATAAGAAGACTTCCCTAACAAAAGTGTTATAGCATGCCTAACCTAACAAAAGTGTTATAACATGACTAGCCTAACAATAGTGTTATAACATGACAACCCTAACAATAGTGTTATAACATGACAACCCTATCAATAGTGGTATAACAGGAAACCCCTGACAAAAGTGTTATATCAAGACTTCCCTAACAAAAGTGTTATAACAAGACTATCCTAACAATAGTGTTATAGCATGACTTCCCTATCAAAAGTGTTAGAAGACTTCCCTAACAAAAGTGTTATAACATGACTAACCTAACAATAGTGTTATAACATGACTTACCTAACAATAGTGTTATAACATGACTTACCTAACAATAGTGTTATAACATGACTAACCTAACAATAGTGTTATAACATGACTAACCTAACAATAGTGTTATAACATGACTAACCTAACAATAGTGTTATAACATGACTTACCTAACAAAAGTGTTATAATATGAATACCCTCACAATATTGTTATAATTAGACTATGGTCCAGGTCTGTTTAACCTTATACAAGGGATTTTGTTGCATAGCAGACTGGTTTTTCCGTGTGTTTAACCCATGCTGGAAAATTCATCTGGCATGCGGGTGCCAGATGAGTCACGTGCCATACAACAACGTCATTTTATCGCATTTTATGAATGAACCGCGTTAAAATGACGTCAGTTTAGAAGGAAATATTGTGCCTCGGAAGACGTACGTCATTTCACCGTTGTTATTAAAGTTGTACATGCAGACGCTAAATATTGTAAGAAATTAGTTATGGATGAAATGACATTAACTTTAACGAACAAATGTCTTATTGAGATAAACCATTTTAAATATGAAATAACATGGCAGAATATTCAAGAAAAAATATCTGACTTATGTTGCGGGAACTCGCCCATGGGCAGTAACTCCGCAAGTCTGGGCGGGGTCCCTTGGGACGGATATTCCGATCTGAACCGCAACATATGACATGTGTTATAAGTCCAAAAGGTTGATTTGAATTTAAATCGTATTATACATATGCGAGCCCTTAACGAGCATAAAATTGTTTTATGCAACGAGTGCAGAAAAATTAGTATATAATCTAAATGAATGTAATACTCTTTTTATCACATATTCAAATAAACAACAGTTTACAGTTAAAAGAGCCATTTCTCATTGAAGAATCTATAGGCTAACAAAGCTTATAGTAGAGAGTTTTAACGCTATGTTTGTATATAATGAAAATGGCATCACATCAAAGAGATATTTTACTATAGTGCAATATCGTTTGTATAAAATGGCCGTAATTTATCTGATTAAAGACTTTTTCAAATTGAAAGACCGTTCCGTTCAAGCATATGTATAAATGAAATCAAGATCTTTCACCTCAGGCATATGTATAAATGAAGTCAAGATCTTTTAGTTTGGGCGTATGTATAAATTTTGTTTGTTTGTTTTGGGTTTTACGTTTGGGCGTATGTATAAATGAAGTCAAGACCTCTCAGTTCAAGCATATGTATAAATGAAGTCAAGAACTTTCAGTTCTGGCATATGTATAAATGAAGTCAAGATCGTTCAGTTCAATGAAGTCAAGAACTTTCAGTTCAAGCATATGTATAAATGAAGTCAAGAACTTTCAGTTCTGGCATATGTATAAATGAAGTCAAGATCGTTCAGTTCAATGAAGTCAAGAACTTTCAGTTCTGGCATATGTATAAATGAAGTCAAGATCTTTCACCTCGGGCGTATGTATAAATGAAGTCTAGATTTTTCAGTTCTGGCATATGTATAAATGAAGTCAATATCTTTCAGTTCAATGAAGTCAAGATCTTTCAGTCCAGGCATATGTATAAATGAAGTCAAGATCTTTCATCTCCGGCATATTTTTAAATGAAATCAAGATCGTTCAGTCCAATGAAGTCAAGATCTTTCAGTCCAGGCATATGTATAAATGAAGTCAAGATCTTTCAGCTCGGGCGTATGTTTAAATGAAGTCAAGATTTTTCAGTTCTGGCATATGTATAAATGATGTCAAGATCTTTCAGTCCAATGAAGTCAAGATCTTTCAGTCCAGGCATATGTATAAATGAAGTCAAGATCTTTCAGCTCGGGCGCGTTATAGTTTAAATGAAGTCAAGATCGTTCAGTTCAATGAAGTCAAGATCTTCCAGTCCAGGCATATGTATAAATGAAGTCAAGATCTTTCAGCTCGGGCGTATGTTTAAATGAAGTCAAGATTTGTCAGTTCTGGCATATGTATGAATGATGTCAAGATCTTTCAGTCCAATGAAGTCAAGATCTTTCAGTCCAGGCATATGTATAAATGAAGTCAAGATCTTTCATCTCCGGCATATTTTTAAATGAAATCAAGATCGTTCAGTCCAATGAAGTCAAGATCTTTCAGTCCAGGCATATGTATAAATGAAGTCAAGATCTTTCAGCTCGGGCGTATGTTTAAATGAAGTCAAGATCTTTCAGTTCAGTTATATGTATAAATGAAGTCAAGGTCTTTCAGTTTTTGCGTATGTATACATGAAGTCAAGATCTTTCAGTTCTGGCATATGTATAAATGAAGTCAAGATCTTTTAGTTTGGGCGTATGTATAAATCTTGTTTGTTTGTTTTGGGTTTTACGTCACATCGACACAGTATAGGTCATATCGTGACGTTCCAGCTTTACTGGTGGAGGAAGACCTCAGGTGCCCTTCCGTGCATTATTTCAGGCACGAACGGGCACCCGAGTACAACCACCGAAGTTCCGTAAGCTAGCTGGTTAGCTTCCTCACAAAAAGAGTCCAAAGTCCCTATCGGGATTCGAACCCACGATTGTGAGGGGCAAGTGGTTTGAAGTCAACGACCTTAACCGGTTATCAGTTTGGGCATATGTATACAGTAAGTGAAAGTCAAACTAAGTTGGGTTTTTTTTTTATTTATTCATAAATATTTGTTATGAAAAACCACTTATTTCACAGAAAGTGACATACCTTGTTGTGTGTGTATTTATATATATTATACAACAGTCAAAATAACATGGAAATAAATATTTAATATAAATAAATACTCATTTAAATAATTTTCGTGAAAAATAGAAAAAATCTTATAAAATTAGTAATTTTTTAAG